CGGATCCTGATCTCCAGCTGGCTTCAACGAAGAATGCAGGTGTCCGCGGGTGTGCCTCCTTTGTGTGCTTTGGTCGCACTGCCGCAGGACTTGAGAGCCCGTCCCCTCTGAAAGTGGGCCCTAGCCAACAACAAGAAGTCTTGCCCAATCCCCTTGTTTTTGATGAGAGTAAGGATGAAACCAATTCAGCTGATCTTGTTGTTGATGATGACAAGAATAGAAAGATTAATCTCAAGAGTAGCTTAAAGAAACCATTGAATGACATTCAACCTTCCACTACTTGTGGTGGTGGTGGTGAACATGAAGAATCATCTGAAAAGCATAAAACAGTTGATAGTCAAATGGAAAGGAGGAAAGTGCAGTGGACAGACACATCTGGAGGGGAACTTTACGAGATCCAGGAATTTGAGATGAGGTGAGAGAGCTTCAAATGCTTCATTTTTACATTAACAATCTGACTCAAGTATATCCTTTGGCCCATTGTTTCTTTCTTGAGCAGTGCGGTTCTATTTTCATGTTTTCCGCACATATGCATGCCCGGAAATGTGCACAAGGCGATCTAGAACTTTCCTTTCCTGCAGTAATGAATTGCATTTTATCTGATATGTCATACCATATCTTTTTATTGGCTAGATAAATAAGGTCACATAATAAAGAGCTTACAGTATTGTTAACATAAGCGTCTGTGAAGTTATCAATTGTTGATGGCAATGGTTGTTCGTCATAGATCATCTTATGCCAAATTTGAACTTCTTGTTATGGCAGCCCAAAAATGTTGCAATGAGTAATGCCACTCGTTATATGCCATATACATGTTCTAGTTGTAACTTGACTGATCATCACTTCTCTTGTTTTTTCTGTACGAATTGAAGTTGGTTTAATAGTTTATAGCTTCAAAATATAGATAGCTTGAAATTTTGGGAGGCTAAGTTGTAGTTTGACACCTTAAGACACATAAAATCTGTCTTATCAAAGCAAGAAGCTTTGATAAATTTGGTTGAGGATCCTGCTTTTATTTGAAGCCTCTTTGGGGTTGGGGGAAATTAGTAGTGTTCAGAATTTGTGATTAACAATGACAATTTTTAGAGATCATATTAAGGGTGTGTTTGACACCCATTTTGATGGGTTGAAAAATTTTGGAATAGTGATTGATGGGAGAATATGTGGTGGAAAAGTGATGAAAA